AACTATGAGGTCCCTGCCACTTAAATGCCTCAGTTGACATCTGTCTCCTATGGTCCCCTCCTGTGTGATTGAACTTCCTTTCTCTTGGGAGTGTACTACTGCTATCTAATAAACAAGAGGTGGAGGTGGGCTGTTGAGTCTAACTCTTGCTACATTCATCCAATATGCAACTGGATCCAACATGAGCAATTACTAAGCAAAGACGGATTAAGTTAATAAATAACAGGTCTTTGATACATTTTGAGAGAACTGTCTTGCACATCCACGTCTGCTGATCCAGCAACTTCAGCCAGGAGGGCCAGCAATGCTCTTTGCCATGATACAAACACAAGGGTATGCTCTTGCGCAAGGCCTGGTAAACAACCAATGGAAACTTCAGTCCCAGATGACGCACAAAAACAAGGGAACGCAAATAAATGGACTGTTGCAATGAATTTAATCAAGTTACTTTTTAACTGTATAGCATTTATGTGTAGAATTATGTCCTAAGTTTTGTAAATAATAGTTATAATTTTAACTTAAAAATATGTTTGGCACACACGTGACACAATCTAACATATATTTAATACAATACTAACATGGGTAATAATATAATACTAATGTAGCAAACGTCCAAAAAATACTGGAACTTTTCTTTGTTGTACAGTATGTAGACTATTCTTTTTGTAGAAAATATAGTATATAGTAAAAATCTTAGTACCCCACATCCACTGAATTTTATAATCCATTCATCTCATTCCACTAAAGTGGCATCTACCACTTTTACTTTCAATTGCCAATATTATAGTTGCATTTTAAAAGAAGTTACATCATGGATAGCTTAGACACACACATGTATATATATAACTCACATATCCTGTTCAAATGCATGAATAAGCAAAGGAGGGGGCACTACAGATTATCAATGCCTAGGGCCCTCACATGCCTAAATCTGGCCCTGCTCTCCTTGTCCCCTCCATGGAGCCCTGTGGCAAGGTGAGGGAGAGCAGTAAGAATGGGTCATGGTACCTGAGCCAGAGAGGAGAAGGGAAGGAGAGGAGTCGGCTCAGGCCTTTAGACTCTACTTGTGGGAAGTATACCCTGAGTGTCCCTGTTCTGGTGGGATCATTAAAGGAATCGGGTCTTTTGGGAGGGTCCCAGGAGAATACTTCAATTCTCATCATGTTTGTTTAGGTATAACTTGTTCTCTTTAAACTGTGGTAGTCTTGGTGTCCAGTTTGTGCGGCAGCTGTTTTCTCCCTCAAGCACCACTCTCTGGGCCTCACATCCTTGTCCCCCAATTCCATCTGCTCTGAGCTTCTCCTTAAACCTAGTCTGTTTCTACCTACCAGCAGTTTGCATTACCTTTCTCACCCCAAGACCTGGTGCTTCCAACCCTGTGCTCTCTCCTCTGAACCTAGAACCTACTTTGAAATCTGAGAATTTCCTCCACATTGAGGTGGAGATTGATGTCTAGGTTTCACATCTCCCAGTTCTGCTGAGAACCAAATAACCTTTCTTAGCTTGGTCAAATGTGCCTCCATCAAATCTGGAGGCTCCAGAGTTTCTCCTGACCCTTCCCAGGGATACTCTGTGTGCCAGAGATGACTTTCCTCCTGTGCAAACTCTCCTGGCATGGTGCAGTAAAAGACCCTGCTACACCAGAGCCAGAGGTATGCTGACAGTGGAGGAGAAATAAGCTTTGAAATGTATAGCACCAGAAGCTAGAGGAAATTCTTCCATTCATCAGGCATGTAAAGTTGTAGGTGGGAACTGTCAGAAATATGCCCAGTAATGCAGCATATACAATTATGAACACTCATTCATTTTTATGGAAATTGCACAATACAGAATTAACATGGAAGAACTAAGGAATCATGTTCACATTAATAAGTAGATGGAAACAGAAAGAATTTTCTTGTAGCAACTCCACCCGATTTTTAAAATGTCTTTTTAGTTATATGCCAAATAATCATATAATAAGCTATTATTAAATACTATTTTTAATAATCTACCAGCTGACAACTCAAATACGAGGTTCTTCGGTTTTGTTGACAGCACAGAATTAGAAACCACTTGACTTGCAAAATGATTTTTACACAAACATTAGGGTCTTTTCACTTTTTCAGTTCTTAGAAGTATAAGCAGTCCCCAGGTTACAAACATCTGACTTAAGCACAACCTGTAGTTACAAACCAACCCCTGTAAAGCCTATTATATTAAAAATTCAAGGAACATACAATGGTTCATAATAACAAACAGGTGCTACTTTGCAACAGGCATTAAAACATATTATTACTGTATTATTATGTTAAAAATATTTTAGTGTATCTGGAAGTATTTCTTTAACGTTTTTTATACATAGAAATGTACACTATATACTATATACTTGGACAAACATTTGACTAACTCACGTTAGATGCAAACTGTACCTAATTGTTCCGACTTACATACAAATTCAACTTAAAGACAGACTTAGGAA